AAACAATTTTCTAAAGTTCAGATTGCATGCTTGGTGTGCGTAACCTCTGAACTCTCCACTGAAATGGTTGTGATCTCTAACGATTATGTCTTTTTTTGTTTTTGAAAATCTCTTACCGCAAATATGACATGATGTTGCCTTACATGTGTCTAATTTTTCAATCATAGGTACGCTTGTTTTTATTTTTGAGTTTACAAATTGCGCAACACCAGCCATACGATTTGCAAACCAATCCATACAATCTGCACCTCGAAAGCTCTCGAAATAAGAAAGGCTATCATCATAGCTGCATTTTACATAGAAACCAGCACTATACGGAACGTGTTTTTGATATTTTATGGTTTTAGTTAAATTTACGACGCTACTTTCTTTATGATTTTCTAATTGACATTCAAAATCTGCATAAACAACAAAAGGAGTATTTTGTTGGTATGTAAAGTTTTTAAATTCAACGCAGCTCTCTTTAGGAAGGTTAATTTTATATTTATTAAATTTAGAACACAGTTTTTCATGTTCAACTAATTTATTTTGCTGATGGAAATAGTTCAGACATCTATCGCAAATAAATTTTTTCTCACGATGTTTATTTAACTGGCTACTAATAAGACGCGAAAGATTTTTAATCCAACAATAGTGATATTTAATTTCATCGATTGAATCATTATCTTCATTTGCTGGCGCTGGTGGAGGAGCATCATAATCATTTAAACGCGGATAATATTTATTTTGAGCTAAAAGTAAATTAACATGCGTATCCCGTTTATTTTCCGTTAATCTTGCTGGTACTACTATGTAAAATGATTTTTTTTCTGTTTCGATCAATTCTAAAGCGTAAACATTGACTGAAATGTTATTCATCTTTTCAAATTTTGAAATTTTTGTTAGCAGCATAGGACTATCTAAATTTTCTGTTTGTAAAACGTCAGTAAAGTGTGGATATGAGGAGGTTAGTTCTGCATGTCTTTTTTTGCTAGGAGTCCGAAGAGCGCTTACAATGGCCCAGTAAAAGCAATTTTGATCTATATTTTTAATGTTTATACAAGCATTTTTCCTTATAATCGGTTCTGGTAGTCTAATATAAGATGAACCGTTTCCCAATTGATATTTACTGATATTAACAACTAAGGAAATAATTTTATTTAACGCAAATCCCGAATCTTTTTCAGCAAATTCCGATAATTCGTTTAAAAGTTTATCTTTCACATATATCTTAAACCACTCGTCTATTTGAGTTGATGTATCAATAATATGATTTTTAGTATTAATATATTTAATTCCCAAAATTTCATTATCCCCCGATTTCCTAATAAACTCCCCGCAAAATGTTGTATTTACTTTGAGCGCACAATGGGTGTTCAAAATATTCCTAATTTTCCTTTTAAAAACAACTACACAATCTGCTAAAAATTGATTCAAGTCCTTATGACGCAAATTAGCTATGGAACCGGTTTTTATTCTACTTTGAAAGCTCGATTCTACATTTTCCCATCTAACCCTCTGACCCAATGTTAAGTGAAGTCCTGCCCCAATATGTCTAGTTAAAATCAACTTTCTAAAATGTTTAAAATGCCCCAAATTTGTTTCTACTTTTCTACAGGTCCCTACAGATAATTTATTTTGCCTTCTACTACGAATTACCCGTTTACATAATCTAATTTGTTTTTCTATTCGTTTCAGCCACACTTCCGCGTCTCTGATTGTAAAATTATCAAATAAAATTTTCCGTAGACTAACAATTGATAGTAGAACACCGTCTGTTTGTTTGATGATCTTTTTAACCTTATTTGAAGACATTTGAAAAGACGACATTTTTTTTTTCAAGCAAACACATTACTCAAAAATATATAAAAATGCTCACCCTGTCCTCCTCCTCCTGTTCTCTGCTTTGTTAATTTTCCACTATTTTGAATGATGCTAGCGGTCGGCTTTTCCCTACGTCCACTTCCCCTTGGAAGATGATCGAGTATTTTCCGTGAAAAAGTTCGTCGATGACCGGCTGGTACGTTTCCGTCACCCGCTGTGGTAGAAATAGCACTTCCGGTCCTAAATCTAGTAGCACGGCTTCCCCAAATTTCGACTTGACCACTTTAGCTGCTTGGATTGCAAATGGTGTCCCGACTGGTAGGTCCTTTAATTTTCTGATAGGTTTGCGGTCTACAATCGAAGACGCAGCATTAATTTTTGATAAATCCATCTATAAAAAAAATTGAGTCGTCTAACTATTTTGAAGCATAACACGAAAAAACAGTTGCACTTAGAGACATAAAAAAGAAAAATATTAAATAAAATAGCACTTACTTTTTTTAAAATTTTCGCTATCTCGTCTCTCTCGAAGCACTATTGTACTGCGGCCGTTGTTCCAGCTTGCAGCGTTGTGCGTTAAGTGTGAAACAATGATGACTATTGCATGCGCTCGCTAAATATAAATACGTGGTTGAGATAACACACGCGTGCATGAGATAATTGTATCGTAAATATGCATATTATATGCATCATATTCTCAGTACCATTTTTATCGAGAAAACAACATTCATTGCGGTTGCAGTATTTTTTATATAATTTCTTAGTAATACATGAATGTATCGTTTGTCCGGCGGAAATTCCAATTACAAGTTGCACATGAGAGTAGAAATTTAGAAATATAGTAAATTCGTGTATGATTATTGTATATTTGCTGCCTAATTTTTTTTCAGTCAAGATTTTGATTGGGGGGTAAACGAATTTATATTTGCTATCTGAGATTTTTGACATCATTCTCTATCAGGTGTTGGTTCATGAAATTGGACATGCTCTCGGCATAGCACATAGTGCTTCTCCGAATGCTATTATGTTTGCCTTCTATCAGCATGAGATTCGTGGTCTAGATGTTGATGATATAAATGCAGTACAATATCTATATGGAAGAAAAAACAAATATGATTCAATCCCAACGTCTACCACCGCATCAGCAATACCAAAAACAACAACAACTATAAGATCTACAACTCGTAAGCAGCCGATCCTCAAAAATTTGTGTGATATTATTCCAGATTTTATGTTTTTAGCTATTGCTCCAGAGTTTTCAAATTACCGATTATATATTGCACATGATATGTTTATATGGAAACTAGACTTAAACGAAATGATTATCCCATCTCAGCCTGAACTTCTTGTCGATTATGTTCCTACAGAATTACGTCAATACACTTTACAACATATTTTCCAATCAACAAACGGTGACTTGATTACCATTGTGTCTCCAAACAACTATTTCTCAGCATCATTCCCTACCATTAAATTTCTTGATAATTTTTCAATTGATATACCCGATAGGGCTCGAATCAATGCTATTTTTCAATCAAACGCAGGACGGTCCTATACCTTTTATAATAATATGTCATATATAGAATTTTCTAACGATTTTACTGATGTGTTGAACAGAGGACGGATAAGAGACATATTTCCTGGGTTACCTGAAGTTTAGGGAAAAAATTAAAAAACAACCAGAACTGAACCGTGAAATACATAATTTGATTCTTGTCTGTCATGAACCAAATCAGTTGTCGAACAATGATTTGAGTCGATTAGTATCAACATCTAAAGTACTCCCTGATATGTAGTTTTATTGAAAATACCTCTGGTTTGCGAAATAATATTGTCGGAATTTCTTGTTGCAAGTTGTTCAAGCGCGGGTATTCAAAACATGGCACACACACACACACCAATCAACCTTATTGTTATATATACTATATGTTTCAATAAAATATCCATTATACTATTTTCATTTTGAACGGTATCATCCTGTATAATAATAACAGTACATCGTATACAGGTTATGAGACATTCTGACCGACCGACCGACCGACCAGAGGAGCCCACCACGCTATTTAGGTCACGCCTTGCTATATACGATTTAACGATATACCGTCGGTCCATCGATCCGCTATTTTTCGATGCACCCCTGTATACACGTTGCCCCCCGTAATCCACGCCAACACCAGACAGGTGCGACATCGGCGCCATCTATGCGCGAGATGCCCAACCCATCAATGGCAGCTGTCCAATGACGCATAGATTCCGTTAGGTTTGTACAGCGCCAAACAAATCGGCGCCATCTATGCGCGAGATGCCCAACCCATCAATGACAGGTGTCCAATGACGTATGACAGATGACGTTTTAACGCCATCTATGCGTGAGATGCCCAATGACGCATGACAGGTGTCCAATGACACACAGATTCCGTTTGGTTTGACAGCGCCATCTAGCGGCGGAATTCCCAACTCATGAATTTCGATTACAGATTCCGTCCAACAACCTGTCAATGGCGCGCGACGCCAGCGCCTCTGGTGGCGGATTTTGGAAGTTTTGAGACCGAATCCCCATAAGACATCTACTTGGAATGCAGTAGAATTATTAATAACAACGTCGAAAGTATCGTCGTTGATCAAGAAGGTGAATCCGTGATGCTCCCGAGGAATGTGGTCACCACAAGGCTAAAGACGTTGGAAACATTAAAATTTCTACAGATAGGTTAATTATCATAATATTGTATGTGGATTTTGTTCTAAGAGTTTTGTACATAGTTGCTGTAAAGCACCACTTTAGCAGTATATGAGGAACTGACGTGTTTCTGGTTTAACTAGGCCAAATCGCGCCCGCTTTGAACTATCGTTTCTTGACTTGCTTCGCATTGATTTCTTCACGAAAACGTCAAATTTACACGAAGATATCCAATATGAATTGCGCCAGGTGAGGGTGACCCAATTACCAGAAACCCCTAAAAACGTGTTTTTTATGTATCTATAGAAATGTTTAGTGTCTTTTTGTATGAAAATTTATTATAGTGTGCATTTAGCAACACAATGTGTATTCGCATATTGTCATACCAGATACTTATACAGAGATTTGTTGATATTTATAGTAAGAGTCGGAAATGGAGAACGCCAAGGATGTATATACATTTTGTTAATTTTAACGGATATTGGACCTTAAAGGATCCGTGGATTTGTTATTTTTTTGGCGTAACATTGAAATCTCAAATACCATATATCTCCCTTATAAGAAATGAAAATTAGTTTTGATCTTACAGGGCCTTAGGGCAGCAGCATTGATAGGTGCTTTCCTCACTGCAATAGGAGCTGCTATCAAGCTCTTCGCTTATGGCAGAGATCTGTTCTACGTCGTTCTCATTGGCCAGGCTACCGTCGCCATATCGCAAGTGTTCATCCTCAACCTGCCACCCAAAATAGCTGTAATTTGGTTCAAGCCCAGCGAAGTAAGATTTTTCATAGTTGAAAAGGTGGTATATGAACATTTCTGTGGTCAAAAACTTGATTATCAGATTCCTTTAATAGTTTGAATGAAATCGAATGTCGTTAAGAAGGGTTATGTTGTTTCTAAAACGAGTTCAGGATTCTTAGTACCAAACCAGATCAGCTTTTCTAGAAGTGTACTCTTTTTTGTAGGTGTCAACGGTATGTTCCATAGGAGTATTTGGTATGGCGTTAGGCATCGCCTTGGGTTTTCTGTTACCACCAGTGATCGTGAGAAACCACGAAAATGTGGATGATATCGGAGCAGATATCAATGTTATGTGCTGGGGGGCGGCAATAGCGATAGCACCTGTGGCTCTCACTGTATTATTTTGTAAGTCATTTGTCATAGCTGATATAAGGCAGCAGTTGTTGTGCATGCATTTGTTGTGACAGAGGAGCCATATCCCGTATACTAGAAAAAATATCTAAAACTCATCGATTTTGATTTGTTTTCGTGATTATATGAATAATATATATATATATATATATATATACAATGTGTTTGTTCGCGCCATACCAATAATGGAGGACATGTTGAACAGCTTCTCTAACATTAAACATGTCCAAACTCTCTATAAGAAACATTGATTTGTCATTTTTATGAATAAGAAGTTTGAAAACAATTTGCATTTTATTACATCCATTTTGACCCATATTAGATAGCATTTATGGCTTAACGTAGAATACTTAAGATAACAAAAAGCTGTAGAATTAGCACAAAAAGGTACAACTTCACAGACTAGTTTTTGAATGGTGTGCGGAAATGCAGAAAATAATCAATTCAATTTCATATTTTTTTCTGTTTTTGTCTGTTTTTAAGTATGTTTGACGGTTAGTATCTAAACAAGTTTTTCAGTAATCGCTAGGACCACATGTCATCGTTCAAATGACACCAAATGTATCATTCTGTGACACTTACGTACTCAGTTATTACAATTTTCATACATGCACTACCGTAATCGAAACGTAAAAATAGAAATGGCTGCTATTTCAAGGGGGATGAGGTAGGAAAGTGTAGGGGGGTGGATTTGTCGATAAAAATAGGTGAAAAATACCCTTCTTAAATATCGGTATGTCGTGACCAAACACATTGTATACTTCGAAGTTGAGTCATTTATTTTAACAGTGAGTAGATCTGATCAAAAGAAATGTTTTTTCCTTTACCATTTTTCTGGTAAAATTAAAGTAACAAAGTTATAGCCCTTTGGAAGTTTGAGTACCGCCCTGTCTCAATAATAATATTATGTGCTCGTGTTTGGCGACCACGGATATAATCCGCCGTATCGGTTCATCGCATCGGAAACAAAAAAGCGAAAGAATTTGGAACAATGTTTTTACAATTATTTTATTCATTTGTATACAGTCAGTGTCAGTGAATAGTGGTGTCTGTTGCGTGGCTCAAACGAAATAATAAATGGCACATGTTTATGCGGATCGGTTTCCCAATCGAGTGCAACCAACCCCTCGTGCCTTTGTTAATGTAGTACAACGGGCTCGTGAATCAGGTGACGGCATGCCGGTGCTCCAAGACCTCACGATCAAATACAGGTCCGCACTGAAATACTTGTCGGGAGGATACTTTATAAAACAAGGTAAATTTTTTTTTTTATTTTTACACACATATTTTGGTTTATCTTCCTTCTACAATCATTATCTGAAAATTAATGACTCAACTTCAAAGTCACCCTATATATATATAGAAAATGATCATGCGGAGAAAGGCATATAACAAAAAATAGAAAAATAATGGGCAAAATCCGCAAAAAAAGGAAAGAGGATTCGAGCAGAAAATACTACCCTATGCTATTGAATTTACTTAATTGTAATGGGTCACAAGTCACATACAACGTTTACTTTTTCAGATTTTCCAGACGAGCCGCCAAATCCACCCAGTCAAGCTCAGTTGAAGGAAAGAGAAAATAAAGAAGTGGTTAATTTCAAAGTATTTCTTAAGTCGCTGAAGACACTGTTTAAAAACAATGCTTTCTTAATACATGCCTTTTCTTATGGTCTCAATCTTGCCATCTACTCAGCCATTGGTACCTTGCTCAATCAGTTTATTTTGAATTATTTCGAGGTAGGTTATACGATACGATAATTATTTATTTAATAATCGTTGTATTACTAATGTATCTTCTGTGTACAGTGCTTTTCATTGTTTTTTGAACGGTACGGGTATTACGTATCTTGAAAAGTGACATTTTGTCATTTTTTTGTCATTTCGTAGGTTTTTTTGTAACATAACGTAGGTACACAGTTTTGAACTCGTTTTGTAGCTGTACGTGTTGCTTAAATGGCAGCGAACAGCGATCTTGGCAACCAAACGTAGAATGAACTATCTGCAAACTGAATACTACCTAGCCCGCAAGATGCCATTAGTAGTTGGTTTTGACGTTTTTTAGGTTTTTTACATAATACCCCTGCCGGTCAAGTTATCAACATTGGACCCGCAGGGAGATGCCAGGGGGCCCCTCAGAATTCGATTGGACCTTAAAATTTCCATTTTTTGTATATAATTTTGGCGATTTTGAAGATTTGCCTCCCATCTAATACTACGTTTTGGGGAAACAGTAAATTTTTTTTAACACCGTACTTGTTGCACGTGGTGGCAGTGATTGAACCCAGAAATGTGACGTGGTAGACAGATGACAGATGTACGTCATGAAAGTGTTGAAGTGTACCACGCCTTTTTTTATAAATAAGAGGAAATAGTAGGGTGATTCCTCTTTCATCTTTTTTAAATCAAATTAATGAATTAATAAATTAGTAAATTACTACAAATGAAATCTAAGGATCGGTCAATGCAAAACAGCTGTCAAGTGGCGTGCAAATTTAGGCCAAAACACGCAGCACATATGCTCCACCACTATGATGTAAGTTAAAAGAAAAGCTGTTATTAAAAACTACCTCACAATAAAATTAATAGACCGTAATAACTAACCCTGCAAAACGTTTACCATTGTACACGTACAAAGGCTTTACAAATTTAGGACTTACAAATATTTCAACGCCTAAACCTAAACTTATCTGGACAATGGTCTTCTTCCAGTTACAGCTCTAGGCGTAGCTGTGATGTTCTCAGCTCTCAAAAACTCAGATCAAAAATCGGTGGCCAGTAGTGAGCAGTGACCTAAGGAATGTCACAAGGTAGAGCCTGCTTGCATCGTTCTCAAAATTTATGGTAAAGAAAACCCTAGAGAGAGAAAAAGATTGTTCAAAAATCTACTCTCTACACTATGTCTGAGACAGAACTACACATTTAAAAGACTCAAAACTTGAAGAAAAATTCAAGTACATTCTCTTTTACAAGAAAACTACTTTTCTTTCTGCAAGAGCAAGAAAAGATAAAAATGTACAAAAGTGACATACCCTCAGAAAGTTATCGCTTGTTCTAAAATAAGTTATGGCAGCCCAAAATTCAAAATCATAATTAATGTAATGTAAACGGTCCAAAAGACTAGGCACTACCCTATATTTGAATACGTAACATGCCAAACAAAATCAAGAACAAACTAAGAATTTCAGTCAGCAACAATCAATATATCAATATCTATAAAATACCCAATTAAAATGATATGTTACCTGTTCACATCAGGATTTTACGTCAAGGGAAGGGATGACTTCCAACAAAATCGGCTGCGAAACAGCTACAAGGCAGCTACTTCACAATGGCTTTCCACTAAAAGGAATCAGATATTGAACAAACTGCTTCAGGGCAAGCATTAATGGACATAGTCCGATGGTATACAAAAGAGAACTTACCGCTGGAGGCTAAAATCCCATTACAAAATGGACGGGGTAGTACCCCAACCAACACAACTAAACGTAAGGTACAAAGATAAAGGGGTACTACTCTTAGGGCGTTAATATTCCAAAATCTGGAAGTTAACAAAAAAAAAACGCCCGGACACAACCAAAACTACAGCAGAAAGTAAAATGGCGCTGAACCCTCTGCGCACGCAACCGCCTAAAAGAAGGTTGAATAAGTTGCCCCGAAGAAAACACGTTCGAGAGAAACAGGGAACAGATAAAAAGCCGGTAAAGAAGGTATCTTGATAGGAAGGTAAATTTTAATAGAAGGTTTCTTGATAGGAAGGGGAACATTCATATACGGCTAGTACGCATAAATATCATACGATGGCGCGCTGGTTGCCGATGGGCAGATTGTAGGCAGAAACAAATCTGTCTACGAGGGACCAACAATATGTATGAGGAAATTTCTCAGATAGAAGAAAGATTTCAATACAATACTGAGTCGCTGAGAATGACAGATATAATACGTGAGAAATTCTACAATCAGTAAACTATGAACCTTGACAAAAGAAAATCATTGAAAAAGGTTTGGTCTAAGAATCGGTACCCTACTATTAATGAAGAGAAATTCAAATTACTCATAAATGATCAAGACAGTAAAAAGAAAGGTTACGTGATTTTGGCACGTGAAAACCGTAAAAATTATTGCCATATTTTCACGTAGGTATAGTGCATACGAAGGGCGTTCGGAAAAACTTTTCATATTTCCCAAAATGCTGAATTAGTTTTGTTTTGGAAAAGTGTACTTACTCTCTATGAACATATTATGATGGTAATAAGACACCAGAAAAAAATGGGTTGTGTGAGAAACTTTAATATTTGTTATTACTACGAAACCTTGAAAAATTCCTTTATTCTATGGAATATATAATGGAAATTTGTGCTCTATTGCTGGGAAGATGTTGGAATAAGTGGAATATGTAGTCTTTCTAATTTTTCGCAGTTCAACAAATAAGAATAAATGATACTTAATCTCAGCCTTTTTATTTATACAGTGATCTGTCATGAAAATGTGGGAGATTTCTTAAAATAGACGTTTTGAAAGACGTTCTTCTTTGTCCAGAACCCTAATACTGTCATAACTCATAAAGTGACCTGTAGTGTTGACATGTGATGCCAAACCACATCTCTCTGGGTGTAGTCTGCCGTCACTTTTGTGTGAGGTTATCCTGCCTTTTAGTGATCTAGATGTTTGTAAACTAAATTACAGTTGTTACAATTAATGCAATAGACAGTGCTTGTCAAGTCAGGCAACGGAACGCTATCCTTCATTTTGGAAAACACACTGTTAACTGTGAATACCGATTTACAAGCAAAACGAAAATTTAAGGAGCTATACAACCTGATCGATTTAGGAGTTAATTCTTTGATATATGTCAAGGCTAACTCTAAAATTAGAAGCATTATCCATAATATTATCATTATTATTAGTTAAAGAATTACTGGGGGTCGGGCTGGAAATGGCGGGGTTGTCATACTCATTATTATTATCGGGAATTGGCAAAATGTTAGAAGGAGAGCTGAACAGGATTCTGTTTAATCAAATACTTGAATAAAGCTTCCTTAAATTAGACAGATGGAAAGTACTATCGGAGATTCTAACTACCCTATTTTTCATTTGCTTCACCAAATTTATCTTTATTTTAAGTTCATGGTAAGACCTGAAGTTCAGAAACCTTCAAGAGGAAACTGGTTTCCTGTACCAGTCTACCAGTAACACGTTAGTGCTTTTTTAGCTTCAAGATTGATTCGCCCTACGGGCTGTGGCTTAGAATTTGTCACTGGTGGGAAAACTGTCGGTGGTAAAAGTCCACCATATGTCCACACTTTATATCATCTAAGCTTTACCATCTGAACAACCTGGCTTAGAAAAGTATGGCCCTACCGGCTGGGCCAAAGAATTTGTCCGTGGCGGGAAAACTGCCGGTGCTAAAAGTCCACCATGTGTCCACATCTTATATCATCTAAGCTTTAACATCCGAACAACCTGGCTTAGATAAGTATGGCCCTACGGGCTGAGCCTTAGAATGAGTCCGTGGCGGAAAAACTGCCGGTGGTAAAAGTCCATCATGTGTCCACACTTTATATCATCTAAGCTTTACAATCCGAACAACCTGGCTAGATAAGTAAATCACTACCATGCTGAGTTTTAATTGTTGTATTTTTCTATTGTTAAGTGGTGACTTAGGTTATGCAATATACTGAATATTATTATCCTTGTCTTTTTCTATAGGGATCAGTTGCTTACTCTTGTCTTACCTTGTCACATTTCTCCATCTATGTAAAGGAGGATAGGAGTTTGTCGCTTGATAACTCCCTTTGTTCAGTATAATTATTGAATTACGTTGGTTTGTCTTATCTTGACTTACGCTCTATCCGGTGGAGTGGACAATTTGTTGGGTATTTGCAGATAGCTTGGCGGAAAACTTTATGTCTGCACATGTCAACAAGTGGAAATACGTTTTGTTCTACTCTGAGACTGTTATACTAAATTTGACTTATTCATTCCTTGATTTAATTCACCTATTTCAACTACATTTTAACTTTGTGATTGCGTATTGATTACCTTTATTAGTTCGTTTAGCTTATCTTACCTTTACGTTATACGAGGTCCACACTATATATTTTGACGTACACGAAAACTAAAAACTATTTTTCGAAAACTAGTCTATTTATGTTCAAAGTATTCTCCTACAGCATCAATACACTTCTGTAGCCTGACCTTCCACAAATGAAATGCTTCTAACCGGTCGGTTTTTGGAATGCCTTCAACAAACTGATTAATTGCTTGTTCGATTTCCTCTTCGGACGAAAATTTTCGACTCCGCCATTTTTTTCCAAATTGTTGAAGAGCCAGAAGTCGCACATTGCCAAATCTGGCGAATAAGGCGGATCTTCCAGCATTTTGATGTGGCGCTGGCGTAAAAAGTCTACAGTTAGTTTGACAGTGCGGCTAGAGACATTGCGTGGATTGCACCCAACAACTTTTTTAAATGAAGATCATCATGCAAAAAGATGTGCACTGTTCGGATCCTATCCCAAGGGTTGCCTATATAGTCGCATATGTGCAGCGAGAGTCTTCTTCAATTCGCTGCTAAACGTTAGCAATTTTTTCTGGAGTCACACTAGAATATGGCCTACCACTACGTTCTTAATCAGCCAATGAAAGACGCCCTCTTTTAAATTTGCATACCAGCGAAACACACTTGCCCGGGACGGAGTTTCATTACCAAATGACTGTTGTAACCGTTCGATACATTGATGTTCATTTAAACCGAATTTAAAGTCATAGTAAATCATAGCGCGATAACTCTCTCGAGGCAACTCCATGTTTCGTCTTAAATTTGTTTACACCACGTGCACTGTAAGATGCTTGCAAATGAACTGAATGCGGCAACTTACTAATAAAAGACTGCTCTATCTAATAGTGCACTGTTGCCGGTTTTAACTAGTATAGTTAATGCACATCTCAAAATATATAGCGTACCCCTCTTATTTTCTTGCTTTTGTTGATTTATGATGTGTCATGGCTCATTTTCTGATCTTGATCTTGTTATTACCTGATT